TGAACTCTACAGTCAGAAGACCGGTGTGAAGGATGTAAACAATTCAGACACAAACCTTTTTGCTTAACCAACTTATACCGACCAGTAGGAGTTCCGGTAGTCTTGTTAGCATTAGCAACTAAAACGATTTTCTTTCATTTTTATTGGTTCGGCAAGGCTCAACATTCGAACGGAATTTTACATTGTATGAATTTCGGCAATTCTTTTGCGAGTATGAAATAACTGACTCCAGTGCCGTACACAAAGATTTCAAAAATGTTACAAGGTTTTCGTAAGTAGGTATGTCTGAAGATGCATAATTCATTTCAAAAAGCTTAATGGTAGCAGGATCCAAATTTTTGATATCAATATGAGATAGAACAAAACTCCATGAATCTACAGGTAAATTCAAATTTCTCAATCCATCCAAATTTTCATGAACACATTCGAGTAAATTACGTAAACCTGTAGCCGATTCAGCATGTAATTCAGGGAAATCCATTATTTCCTGCCAATAAGTACTAGTTATAAGTCGCGGATTTTGGAATCAGTCAACTAATGTTATGAACGCAGTGTCATAATTGTTATCAGTGAATTTGAGCGACTTGATGCAAGACAGATCCCTTTCGATAAAGACGACAAAAGATATCTCAATTCTTCAGTTTTGCTCAAAGTACTATTATTATGGATTAATGATTCATATGAATCTAAAAAAGATTGCCGTTCTTGTGAACTTCCGCTGAATTTGGGAATATCAATCTTTGATAATTTCACATTAGGACTAATGCTAGGAACTGTTGTATCTGTTTTCTCAAATAATCTTTCATGTATTGTTTTAATCGAATAATATTTTTTATCAAACTCCCGTCTGATCACATGCTCCGCATCTAGATTGGCACCTTTGATGGTTGCTAAATTTTCAGTTATTGACAAATGGCTATTCTGGTATTCTGTAAATATGATATTGATATCTTGATATCGCACTCTGAATTCTTCTTCATTATCATCATCAGTGATAGCAAGGTTGGCGCATTCTTTTATTTCATCTAAATGTTGTAAGTATCTCTAACAGCTCGACACTGATTTATTTTAGCCGCAGCTATAACACTCAACAAACTTCAAAATTGATAGAGAACGATATCGTTAACAAAATAAGATTGATAATGAGCCTAAATTTGGTTTAATATTTGCGACAAATTCCCACAATTCGAACAATGCATCAAAAACTTCGAATATATAAAATGAAAGTGATTTTGTTATAATAAGTACGAATGAATAGTAAGATTTGTATACCAGTAAGTGAATTTCACGAATTGAGTAGTGATCCAATGCTGGTTCGGGCGTTCGCTTCGGATTTGAAATAATTCCAATAATTATTTTCTTTATCAATGAAAATATATAAACTTTATCGATACGCCACTGAATGCCAATCATCCACGAAAGTATCGATGAAAGATTCAATAGTTGAGAACTGTAAAAACAGTAAAAATCGATATCGAATTCAAATGATGTTGACTCAAAACAAAACCATGCAACGAGAGATATTTTGCGTTACCGAAATCAAATCCCACCAAAGTATTCAACTACCTTCGATAGATACCTAATTTATTTCAAATGGTCTCGAAATCGAGGCGAATATATGAAAACAGTATTTTTGCTATGCTATACTGACACTGTTATCCTTATCAAAACGAGTTTTTACCTCGATGCCTTTTTTCGAAAGGTATTGAAACTTGGGCATGCATTCATAACGAACTATATTTCAAAAAGGCAAAAACAAATGTATTTTCACAATCCGGCTCGATGGACCAAAAATGTAGAATTCCCTTTTGAAATAATTATTATCGAATCAAAGAATGCGAACAATCAAATTGGAGTGCAGTGAAACAGTAATAATAGCCGTACCTTGATATGTGGACTGTTAACTGCTATATGATCTTCCTAGCTGCTTGGAGGGATAGGCCTACCAGATCCACCACACTGAGTAATGTTCTAGGGGTGCAATCTTGTTAATCGATTGCCGAAACATGCACAATCTCACCGGAACCAGCGAATAATTATAACATATAGCGGACCGATCGTTTAAAAATCGAATCGAAAATCATAGAAAAATTGTATGTCAAAGAAATACATTTGTTTCTGCCTACAAATAACATTTATACAGACTGTCCCAAAACAACATTTGTACAGATTGTCCCAAAATGAAGTAATTATGATAATTATAATATCATAATTCCCAATTTCAAAATGAATAAACTAAATGATAATATTGATACGCAACATAGGTATAACTTTGGTGTATTTCAATACATCTGGAAAAACACCTGTCGAAAAGATCAAATTAATGAATTCGGTTAATGGTAGCAAGAAAATGGCAATGGTACCTTTCACGATCTTACTGTTCAAACTATACACATCCATGCAATTCGAGTTTTTCAAGGATTTAACGGTGTCAAGAACTTCCTCAGGGGTTACTGGGGCGAAAAAGAATGACTTGTTAGGAGTAGGAAACCTTTTGAAGTTCGATAACTCACTGTTTGTTATTACTGGAAGGAAAGCGATAATATTTTCCGCAATTTCTACAAAAAAGTCATTGAACTCATCTGGGGTTATATTGTCAAAGGGTTGTTTTAAATTATTTTCATTCCTCTCATAATTGACAATCTGCCAACAAGCTTTGGATTTATTATCAGAGGAAGCAATGTAATTGTCATTCGCTGCTTTTTCTGCCTGCTTCAACTGTGTTCTATACAAAGTCTTGAGATTTTTGTAGGTATTCCAGTCATTTTCATTATTATTAATATTGCAAGAATATTTTACCGCACTAAGGTCCTCTCTCATATTCCTGAGGGAGTCGTTATACCAAGTTACCAGGGATTTTTTATTTTCGGAGCATTTTTTAAGTGGAAAGAAGTCATTTACGTTTTTTGCATTGACATCAATGAGCAGAGATGCCAAGTAATTGACGACACGGTTCTCATAGAAAATATTCCAATTAAAGTTTGCCAGGTTTTTTCTCAGTTTTGTAATTCCTCGGTGTGTTACACATCTCTGATATGCAATACGAGGTGTTTATGATTGTGTCTTGAAATACACAAAATATTGACCCGAGTGGTCCGACAAACAGGGTTCTATGACACCAGATACATAAAATTGTGGATCTATATTTGTAAGTACATTGTCAATACAGTTTGAGGAGTGAGACGTGATCCTGGTAGGTTCAATTATGGTTATTTCCATCTCAAAAGAAATCAAGAGACAACGTAACTCTTGTGAGTCTCTGTTATTATTATTGAAACTTATGTTGTCTTTAGTAATTCGACCGCACAAAATTCCGAATCAGTCCCATTGTTATAATTCTCCATATTCTAACTTCGAAGTTTAAACTTACTTTCAAAAATATAGCTACACCACCGTGTCTGGTTTCTCTCCTGCAAAAACAAGATGCAAGTGAAAACCCAGGTATGTTAAGAGATTTCAAATTAGATTCTGTTTGCCAGTGCTCTGAGAAACAAAGTACATTAAAATTATTCTCCAATACAAACATTTCCAACTGCTGAAGTTTGTTGGATGAACACTGAATGTCAATATGGAACATACTCGCCATGTTTTCGAACTTTAAATCAATGGTACAATTCGTATCTAACGATCCTGCTCGAGGTTCACTGTTTTTCGAAAATTTTCTTTGAAGTTGAATCTACGGATAGCTGCTCCTTTTGGCCAGATGGTAGGATCATAGGCTTTATCCAAGTGGTCAAGTGAAAAACTGACCCTAAAAGTTGAAGAATAGTCAGTTTTATTTCAATCCTCGCAATGAAAGGGTATTTCTGGTGCTGTTTTTCTTAACAACTGCTGCAAGTTTTTGCTTGTCATCCCTGGACCTATGCGCGAGACATGCAAATATCAATTTTTTGTAACAGTCTCAAAGTTTTCAATCACATTACAGCCAATAATGGGTTTATATTTGTTTTTGTTTTCATTTGGCAAATGACTATTACCAGCTATGGAATTTCTTGGGTTGCTCTCTGCCCGACTATTCGCAACGTCGGCAAACGTTTTTTGTTTAGTGTTTTGTTCATTCATTGCTGTTACAGTAATTGTCTGGGAGTGTTCACCTTTTCCTACTTTTTTGGTATTTAAATTTCTCCTAGATGGCGGTGGCTGTATTGAACTGAATTGCTCTTGATTCAAATGTTTCAAGATAGTTATCAAGTCCTCTTGTTCCTGAGTTCGTTTCTCAAGATGAAACGAAATCTTACTTACGGCTTCAAGTTCAGTTTTTATCGAGACCAATTCACAGGAAGAAACTTCACATTGTTTACAGGTTACCTCCGCTATCATACTTTCGAAGTTCACATCATTCTCATTTGTAACTAAAGTTCCACTGATTTTTGATGTATAATCAATTAAATGATTGTTTGTCACACCCACAGGTAACTTGAAAGTTAGTAACACATCAATTAACTAATTGTTTTTCAATTTGTTGAGCTCTGCTGTTAGAAGCGCATTATCACTTGCCGCTGCCATATTGCGATTTTGTATGTTATTTGACCGTAGTATAGTGATTGAAGGCCTCTTTATTTCTGGTTTTTCATTCAATATTTTATTTATTTCCTTTCTCTTGGATGGAAAATGGATTCAAAAACAGAATCCTCGTAGTTGTAGCGTGGGTGTGGTGGAATTGATCCTCACAAAGAGAAGTTATTCTGGGACTCCAAACTTCTGGAATACTATAACCCAAGAACAATTCCCAAAATAATAGGATAACGTATTTCAAAATCAAATCCCAATGAAGGAAGACGGAAATGTCTCGAGATTTTCAAATGTTATCGCCTCCAACACCAAAACACTACGTTCTACCAGATCGCGTGGTTGGAAAAAGATCGCCTATCGTTCTTTTCCAGAAAAAAAAAACAGTACCTACCTTTTTTCTGTCCTCCGCGTCCTTACTGCCCAATTTATTGAAATTCTCATACATCTTCTGACATCTATGAACAAAGGTATGAAGGCCATAAAACAGGTCACAAAGAACACTGCATGTTTATCTCCAAATATAGCATTAACGACGCGAAATTTACTAATTCGAACTGAACTGGACTATCAGCAAAAAGCCAGCACCTTTGAGGTAGATTTAAAATCATCGCTGCTTCTTCCAGAAAATCTACCCCTAACAGAGTTCGGTTATCTTCGGCATCTGAAAGTATGACAAAGTCTATAGTGAATGTTCTACCACCTATCTTGACTTTCGTATTGGTTGTATAAACCTCCCTAGGTTGTCCTCGCCCATCAGCCAATGTAACTTCAGCTAAGGTTTTCTTGAGTATGCAGCTACTGGTATCCTTCAAGTGTTCATACACTGATGATCCCACAACACTTGTCTTCGCTGCTGTATCAATGTGCGCATAACCTTCAATCCCACAAATAGTGACAGGTACTGTTGGCACCTGTGTGGTGAAGTGAATCAAGCAGGTATTGACAGCATAGAAGTGAACTGCTTGTGCGGAAACATATGTCTTCTTATGGAAACAATTTGAACAGTTACTCCTGAAAAACCCCGCTTTTTCACAGCTATAACAGCTAATGGATGAACTTGAGGGCTGTCTATTTTCTTGTGCTTTCGAAGGTTGGGACGGCGTAGGTGTGGATTTAGTGTCTACTTTTGCTACACGTTTACAACATTCCTCACCTATATGACCTCTATAGTGACAAAAGTTACATTTTGGAGGTTTGGGCTTGGCAATTGAATGTGTTTCTGAGATGCCGCTGGCCTCGTTCTGAACTTGCTTGATTTGTCGTGCCTTCTGCAAGAGATCTGTGAATGTGCCTATTTGGTCACGAGATATCTTTCTTCGAAACTAAAAATGATGTATACATCAAATTAAACTGCGTTTTCTCATCATGTCGATTATCAGGTAACTGTGCTAACAGCGCCCTCTTTTGACAAACGAATTCATCAATTGGAATCCTCTCTTCTTTCGCTCCATTAAAAATATCTAGATATATCTGGTATGCAGGTTTAGCGGGCGAGAATGCAGCTCTAATCAACCTACCTATGGCATCCGTCCATGATTTCGCTTCAGATTTTACTCCTTGCCACTATGTAGAAGCAGTACCTGTCAGTAAGAGAGGAAATCCTTTGAGAGCATTTTTGTCGGTAATCTTCTCAATCTCTTTATAAATATTTATTGTCGTTATGAACGTTTCTAGTTTCTACTGCAGTTTGTCCTCGTTCTCCATTGAAACGAGCTGTGCACCTACTGAAGCTGCCTGTCGAAATATCTTCTGTGCGTGTATTTGTGATCGTACTGATCAATTCTTGGAATTGTTTGGGTGTCAAGGACAATGACATTCTGGCGGACAGCCTTTGGCTGCTACGAGGAATTTCTGTAGAATTTGACCAGATTATAACGAATTTTCACAGAATGACGAAACAAAGTCACAATGAGCGAGTGTTTCAGTCGATAACTCTGAACTGTTCGTGTAATTTTATATACCAAAGTGTTACAAGACAAAGCCAATCTGACGAGCGAATTATCTAAACTTTCGTGGAATGAGCCAAAAGATTGACCAAACAAAGCCAGACTAGCGAATGTTTTATCTAAACTTTTTGTATTCAGAGAAGTCGGTATTATACTGCTTGAAATTCCAAACTCAAAGACAAAATCAAAATAATGATGTTTGTCGTTCAATTATTATCAGTGATTTACTTTCCTCAATTGCTTTACTTTGAGCGCTAGTTGTAGAGCTGAATTAATACACGAAGGTAATGTAACCTAATAAATATTAATTTATCCAGTCTAACGTATAGAAATAGATCTAAGTACACCGTATAAACTATATCATTCAGGATTCAAGTTGTAACGATGAAGTCGAAGTGTGTTCCAAGCGCTAGCATTGTGCTATTTATATCGTGGACTCTGGCATGACATCACGCACTACCAATCAGAAGCGCTCTTAAGGACGCGCGTTTTTGGCGAGTGTCTACATCTAGAATAATGTAGTGAGGGGCGGCTCAAACGTTGACGAGCTGCTACAAAACGTAATTAAAAATTAATCAAGCATTTTCTATATTTATATCTTCTAGCGTTGACGCAAGTGATTGGAGATCCGTTAGACAGTCAGCTTTTGGTTTCATTACATTGTAAATAGGACACCCGAACAGTATATGTTATAGCGTTTCATTCTCATTCCTGTTACAAATTGTACAAATTAATATCGTTTGGGTCAATTATGAAGGAACTGTTGTTGTAAGTGAATTTCAAACGAAACTTATTACAGAGACGAAGTTGAGCAAGAGTGCGTGTGACTTGAATGGGTAACTCTAGCAGTGAAAAGTTTTTTGGCTCTACTTTAGGTGTAAGGAAAGTATACAATGACATGAAATGGTTGCGTGCTGCTAAGGAAACATCAAGACTGAAAAGTTCATTATAGTAATCCCTGAACAACTGCTTTTTGTTTGTTTTGAGGGTGTGGCTACTGAGATTATTCCAAAGCTGTTCATGTTCAATAAACTTGAACATTCGCCTTATCTGTGCAATCCAGTTGTATTTTATATCTGATGTATCGATCAAAAGAAGTTGTTGTTCGAAAAATATCTTAGGGTACCTATCACTGCTCATACTCAGAACCTTCTCCAGCAGTATGCGTATTTTACTCTTCCAGTATCAAGTCGTATAGCACAGTTAGGGGTGTTGAAGGGCACTAATAGGATTCTTTCCAGAAAAGTAATTTGCACTATATCTAGATATCTCAAACTCCATACTGGTGCACAGTTGGACAAGGTACTGGAAGCCAGAGACTCGCCATTTTATGAAATAGACAGGAGCTTGTGGAAGTAACTCCTGAATAGGCGTACTTATTTGTGGTAATCAAAGAATGGTTCTTGAATTTGAATGGATAAATATTGTTCTGGAATCCTCCCCGGGAAAATTGCATTATTTGTGTTTTATTCATATTGACAACAAGGTTTTCCAGGGCAGTATATTCCTCTATTATCCTGAGCATTTTCACCACATATATTTCGGAGTTTGACAGAATTACCATATCATCGGCATAGAGAAGCGCCAAGACATCCTGTCCATCATCAATATTTATTCATTTATTTATTTATTAATGATACTTCCAAACAGATTGAAAATTCACTTACTGAAGTATATAACAATGAGCTTTGTGATAATATTGGTGTGCAAATGTTCACTGGTTAATAATTGATTCGAAGTTTGTAGAAACAGAATTTTTCTAAATTGTGCTTGCGAAACGGAAGAAATGTCTACGTTTTCTAACTCATTTAACTGTCTACATATATTGAACAAAGAACTATGAAAATGATGGAAGGAATTTGGTACATCTATATGAAAAGTTATGTGCGATCTCGAAGTAATTCGCGGTACACAGAAATTAATCAATGATACTAATTCTGATGAGTCGATATGATTGTGGACGATTTTGTGAAGGAATCTAAGGTCGGAGATCTCTCTACGCTTCCTCAAAGTTGTCAGCTTGAATTCGTCTGATAGTAGCTGGTGATCATAATGAAGTACTGGGTATGTTCCGTGTTTTTTTAAATATAGGAACTTCAGAAACTTATGCTGAATTTTCTCTATTGAGTCGATATATTTTTTCTGGTATGGATTCCAAACACTGCTGTAGTATCCAAGCTCAAAAAGTACTAAATAAAAATAAACAGCTTTCATTGTTTCAATACAAGAAAATTATTTGCTGTTGCGAATAACGAAGCCTACGAGCCGAGCAGACTTTGATGTAATATTTTCTATATGTGGTGCAAATGTCAATTTCTTGTCGAAGATTACTCTCAGATCCTTACATTCATTTACCCGATCGATGATGATATTATTCAACGTATAATTGTGTTCCACTGGCGACAAAATTCTTGCATAGGTCATAACTTTGCATCTGTTTACGTTAAGTGGTGAATTGTTAGAGGTGCACCATTCAGTCGAAGTGTTGAGGTCTTTTTGCAGAATATTAACATCATGGTTATCACGTATGATTTCAAATATCTTCAGATCATCAGCAAAGAGTAGTTTGGCAGAGCTAATTGAGTTACAGATATCGTTGACGAATAACAAAGACAATAGAGGCCAAAGGTTTGAACCTTGAGGAACCCCAGACGTTGCCACAAAATTGAAACTTCTTTCTTCCTGATATTCAACGTGCAGTTGCCTATTTGAAAGATATGATCTCAAGGTATTCTGAACTCTTGTGGAAAACTCATAATCTGAAAGTTTTTGTAGGAGGTGTTGATGGGATACTTTATCAAATGCCTTGCTGAAATCAGTGTATACCACATCGACCTGTACTTCATTATCCAAGGCATCTGACACAAACTGAGTAAATGTGCATGAGTTTGAGGTCGTCCCACGTTTTTTAACAAACCCGTGTTGGAATTCGGACAATGTTGTTCTTACATGTTCATATATGACGTCTGCTAAAATGATTTAGATAAGTTTAGAAAAAAAACAGATTTCAGAGCTATTGGTCTGTAATTTGTTATGTTCGATACACTACCATTTTTGTGAATGGGGCATACTCGTGAAATTTTCCAGATGTCCGGAAAAGTCGAATGCTTGAGAATAAGATTACAAATTATATACAAGGGACGAAGGAAGCAGTCGATGTTTTACTCCACAATTTCAACAGGCACGTTGTCAGGGCCGCATGTTAGCTTGTTTTTAAGTTTCTTGGAAGCAATGATTATTTGTTGAATTGATATTACAGGTAGGTCTTAATACAGGCTTGGATTAGATAATGCTTGATGTGATATATTCTGATAATTTCCAGTGATAGGCGTATAAACACTACTAAAGTGGGTGGCAAAAGCGTCCTACTTTTTTTAGAATTGATGAACGACCAAAATCCTTTGGGATTAGACTTTAGATTGCTCTCAGAGTTACTAATGAAATTCTTATAAGCTATGTTTATTTCTTTTTTGACAATTTTTCTCAAGTTCTTGTATTTTTCAAGATGATACAGGCATTTACGCTTCCTGTACATTTTCAGATAATGGGTTTCCATATTGATTTTGTTAGTGAGATCTTTTGTATACGATGATCGACATTTTTTTGCTTTTTTCTTTGCTAGTGGTGTACACTCTGGAATTTCAGTTTGAATAATATCGTTGAAGGTACTAAATCACATCACATTCACATCACTGTACTCCTTCAAAATGTCCCAATTAATATTGTTAAGTAATTGCGAAAAAATTTTATGATCCATTATATTGTAGTCAAAACGTTTGGCTGAGGTTAAAAAGTTTTTTGTCTTTTACAGTTTATTTCTAGACTAATAAACAGCAAGAGTCGGGTGATGTGGGTCTACTTGAACTAAGGACTCTAATTCTGGTGCAACATCACACTTAATATTTCTAGGCGATAATACTAAATCGAGAATTCTATCATTTTTGTTACTTACAAGGTTTTTTTGAGAGAGATCACAAAAATTGATGAACATAAGAAATCTACTGACTAAATTGGTTATGCGTCTATTAGTTACATAATTTTGAAACTCTGTAATATTGAAATCTCCTATGATAATCGATCGGCTGATATCACGGACGTTTTCTAGAAAGTCGAATAATACATCATAATCACTAAATGAAGTGCCTGATGGTACATATGAAAGTGAGATGTTAAAGAAGGTATTACTTGCAAGAGATATTCTCACGCTAACGATATCTACAGATACCACAGGACATTGGATATTAGAGGAGACAGATTTCCCCATCTCGAACACCTTCTCTCATCCACGTTTCAGACACTGCTATGATAGGGTGGTCACAAGACAAGACATTGGTATAGAAAAGATGGGTTTTGGAGTTGAGACCCCTGCAGTTTTGGTAGAGAATACTAAGTTTGACGATGTCGGTGGAATATCTGCTGGATGTATCGTTTAGTTTTTTCGTAGGATAATTGGAATTGCATTCCTGTGTCCAATGAATGAATTAGTTTCTCCACTGTTGTAGCGAATATCAAGTTCGCGTTTCAAATTTCTGTAATATTCTTGTTGTTTGATGGTATAGTCTCCTCTAATTAAAATGTCTTTGAATGCTTGATCTGTGCGTAATACTCTGTTACCTTTGAGTAGACTAACGACGCCATTATGGTTAGGTAAAACCATTGTCACTGGACGAGGTCTGTCTCCCAGATTTTTTCCTAAGCAAGATATTTGTAAGTTGTTAATGTTGAAGTTAGGAACCACATCTTGGGAATTTCCAGTTGCATCCCCCAACTCTTTTTCAAGTTCGTTGACCTTATTGTTCAGAACTGCTATTTCTTGTTTGTAGTTATTTTTTATGATTGTTAGACTTTCTTGTAGACTGTCTAGTTTTGTATCAAACTGTTCAAATCTACCGTTAAGGCAATTGAGAACACCTGAAGATACCTTATGAACGATGCCTTTCACGAAGGTGTCATCTAGCCAAATTTGTTTTACTGCTACGTCGGCTACACTTCTCACCTCTGAGATCTGATCACGTGTTGAGGGCATCTTCAAATATCTAATGATCGATGCACTTTTGAGTGGAAATTTGTCGTTCACAGGATGCACTTCAAGATACAGCACACTCAGGTTCAGAACTGAGAATACTTCGGATTCAAATAATTAGTTGAACTTGCACTTTATCGGAGCCATTTATGTCGTGTATCACAATTCTGACTGATAAAACATAATATTCACTCCTTGAGCTCCTTGTGTGTCGAAAAAGTTGTCAATATCTGATATGGAAAGTTGAAATAGGAGAGGACTCGAAGATTTCTTCCTGTAGCACACCTGTAGTTACATCAAGAGGATTGGAGAGTCCGTCAGATGATTTGATTTTGCAAGAAACCTTCGGATATGAACTTATTATTACTTTTAAGTTCGCAGATTCTCCCAAGTCGAATAATTTGTTTCACAGAAGCTGATGCACTGTTGAGTGAGAAGCTCGACGAAAATCTACGAATATAGCGAAAAATTTCCGTTTCCTATGTCATACAGTTCCAGAAAGTTGAAGTAAGTTTTTTGAGACGCCAGTATCAATTTTGTTGATTTTAACAGTATTTTGTCTTGGCGAGAAATCTTTTTCACGGCCACTTTCTGGGTTTCCAGTTAAAATTTGGGGCTGGCCATTATGGAATTTAATTTTTAAGTTTTCGCCTTTTGCTTTTCGTTCATCTAGTTGACGGAACACTTGTTCGGTGATTTCTTCTTTTTGAAGACGGGCGATCATTCGCTACTTTCAAATGGGGGTATTTTGATTTAGGTAATTTAGCTTTGTCACGTAAAACTAAGACAGCTTCATCTTCAGATGCAAACTCTACTTTTACTGGATGGACTCGTTCAGTGCCTTTATTTGAGTTTCCCTGTCTTACTGTTTCAGTAAGAGTGATATCGGTTGGTTTAACCGTTTCTGCTAAAATATCAGAGATGGCCTGGTCGATAGTGAAGGCTTCATCTATGCCATAGATCATTATATTTTTTTCTCGGTCTAATCTATTTTTGAGCTCACTGTATAAATCATTTGTCTACTTCGAATGAATCTGCTTTTCAAGATTGGCAATCTGAAGTTTCATGTTGGAGTTTTCTTGCTGCAATTGACCTTTTCCATGCAAGCATCAATCTTATCATCTTGGACCATTGACATAGTTCGAACAGGTATAACTACCCAAGGGGGAAATCAACGGACCCAAGTTCTTATGACTTTTTTTTACTATTTTCGTTCCTATAGAATCTGTGGTTGAAATCTTTCTATATAATTTCGGGACACCCTGTATATGGGCGTGAACTGGTTCTGGATCAAGGATCACCCGGTATTCCCTAGATTGAACTTTACTGTATAGTATAAAGGCTGAAAATTCTCCAAATGAGTAATGATAGTTTGTCACTTTCATGAGACTATTACGTTTGATCCAACCTTCATGGTGAAAAAGTTGAAAAGGGACAAATCTCCAAATAAGTGATGACAGTTGAACAATTTTCAATTTGTCATTTTTGTGAGACTATTACTTTTGATTCAACCTATATGGTGAAATAGGGATACTCTTCAAGAACTGTATTGTGCAGCAGCTCAAATCGTGATGCTTCGTGAATTGATAATCTTCATCGTATAATATTTCAAGTCGAGGTATATGGAAACTTCGAATGCGAGTGTCTTCGTAATCAGTTGAAATAACCTCATCAAACCCGATATCGTCGACTTCGTTCAACCGATTATGGAATAAGGTACAGGGTGTTCCGTTCGAAAAGTTGCTCTTATATCCAGGAGAATCGGAAGATGAAAAAAAATCCTAAAATATGAGCATGTGAGCATATTCGATGTTTCAAATTTCGGAAAATAGCTGAAAAAACAAAGGAGAAGTGGGTGGTATACCATGATTCTGTGTCACCCGGTATGGTGTGTTCGGGTTTCAATGAATAAGTACTTAGACTATATCCATAATCCAGACATTCGATGACAGTAAACAGTCTTATTCATCTCTGAATATCACAAAGTTCTCGTAGGTACTTGGTAATTGTAACAATCCCGAACATGTGTGTGCAATAGGACAACGAGAAGTACCTGTTGTTTCAATGAAAGAAACAGTTATATCTGAGGTTGGATAGTCCGACCCAGTACAAAACTAAAGAAGGATATTCTCATTCTATCTATCTACTTCCCTCAAATATTTTTCAAGAAAATTCAGCGTTTCTTCTCGTGCAGCGGATGAAATTTTTTTTCAGTTCTCATTTTCGACAAACAGTTTTCAGCTGTTGGTTTAATGTTTGTATAAATAGGTTTTATCTCCTCGAAAGGTAATGAATTCTCAGGAAAAATATTTTGAAAGCATTCACTTACAAATATGATTTTTTGTATCATTTCTTCATATGCCAGATCTATGATACGTTTTTTGATATCCGTTTCCGACGGTAAGCCACTTGTTTCATAGGAAGAAAACACATCAATCAAATCGTTTCTGTCTACAGTATCGAATCCTTTTATAGTTTGGATTCATGTACTTTTTTACGACTCACTAATGAAAGTGAGAAAATCCTCAAGTAAATCGGTTTCTGAATCTTCTAATTCGAAACATCTCTTAACGAAGGTAGGAGCCAACTTTATGGGGAAGTAGTTTTCTGCCTTGAAACCTATGACCAATATTTCAGCACAATATTTCCAATGATCATCTTTGAAATCAGGGAACTTTGAGATTCGTTCCTACTGTGCATTTTCCATAGAAAGTGTTCCAAAACTCGAAACATTTTTTAACGAAGGTAGGAGCTAACTTTATGGGGAAGTAGTTTTCTGCCTTGAAACCTATGACCAATATTTTAGCACAAGATTTCCAATGATCATCTTTGAAATCATCTCTCACAAAAGGGACTTTGATATTCGTTCCTACTGTGCATTTCCTATAGAAAGTGTTCCAAAACTCAGAAAGAACATTTCTGGAAACTCCCAGAATCTTCTGCAGTTTCTGTTTCTCCATTCGGTAAAATCAATCCTATATGAAATTCTATTTTCAAGATGCTGTTTCCAAAGTCTTTCAAACGGTAGGCATCTAAGAGCTCCTGGAAAATATTTCCTCTATGGAGAATCAGCTTTTCCATCGAAGATTGTGTCAGGTTGTTCAGGTAATTCTTCAAGAGGGCCAATAATGTAATCGTTAACCAATCTGTTGCTGTTGCTTCTTCTTCTTCTTCTTCTCTGCACAGGTGGGCGGGTGCGTAGACCCCTGCACTCAGGCCTCTTCAGTCGGGCCCATTGTGCGCCCACTTGTCCTGTGAATCAGCTGGGCATGCCGATTTTTTTGACGAAATTCAGCAGCTTCCTCAGCTGAGTCACTTTCACATCCTTTGGGTGCAGTACAATGCTCCCAAAGGCAGCTTTCCTCTGATGCACCAGCGCGGGGCATTCAGTGAGTATGTGTGATGATGTTTCATCATCCTCCAAGCACCATCTGCAGATGGGTTGCTGTTGCTATCACCTGATGAGAGGGCTGGCACAAGATGTTGTATCCCGAAATCCTACAAGGGAAATTCCATAATTTCCATATCATGCAGAGTTCTTCAAATTTCATCGAGTCACATCTGTATTATCATGAGAATCATATTGTTACTCAAAAATACGGAAGAATAATCAGAATCATCATTATTTGAAACGATTTGTCTCTAATGAAGAAGTTTTGGTGGTGGAAACAAAATGTCATTTGATCAACCTTGAGGAACGATTTTTATTTGAGAAAATCATATTTTGAACCAATTGTTAATTAACGATTTGAAATTTCACTTTCCATTTATCAATTATTGTTGAGTCAATCATGACACATCAGATGGTTCAGAAGAATTAACTCGGGTGAGAGTTTTTAACTTTTGACTGTTGAATATATTTATGTGAGGTTTCATCAGGAACATGCCATACCATTAGTATAATACCAAATAATTATGGGTTGAAATTACCTAATTTCATAGGACACTATTTTGTCGCACGCGTTGTTTGGAGTACGACGTGCAAAGCGAGGAGTGCTCCAGAAAAACTAGTGCGACAATATGTCTTATAAAACATGTGTAATATACTACAGTTCTCAACCCACTAAATGGACCACTTATAATTTGACTCTATTTCGAAGCCCCAAAGAATTGACCGATCCTCATGCGGTTTTCGATATCAGATGTAATATTTCATCGGCTTCAAGGAGAGCTAGAACACTCTGAAAAAGTCCGCAGTACAAAACTTATACAGAGTGTTAAGTGGAACCATTACACTATGGTCTGCATTTCTGATGCTGCCAGAACTCCAAAAAAAATTTTCTGATCAAAAGTCGGTCATATCATGATATTCTGGGACCTCATCTCGGGACATTTTCCTGATTTCTCCTCAATTGGCAATTCGAACAAAAATTTGATTTTTTCTCGATCTCGCATTTCTTGAATTTTTTCTCTAGAACCCTAATTGAGCTGAATATTGAGAAGAACTGTTCTCATGTTCTGTGGAGGACAATTAAAGACGAAAGAAGCACCATTGTGGAATATACAGGGTGGTAAGAAAATAGAAAGTCTCATTTCGGTAAAAAAGTCAAAAGCGGTAACTTAAACCATGGCCCATTCGATTAAGTAAATTCAGAAACGGCCTTATCGATATCCATTATTTATATTAGATCATGAACTCGAGACATTTCCGAAAATTCACCTCTAATTGAAATACAGGATGAAAATTTTCATATTTTACGTTAATGAATCATGATCGATAATTTTGATTCCAAGGATAGTTTTTCGGGATCGAATGCTTCCCTAAATCAGATGATCACTGAGGACTGATGTCTTCGTTATCATATACGGAGGTCACCCATATTTCTTCATTGAATGCCGTGAATAATGCCTATAGTTATTACTAGAACACGTACATGAGAGCGATCATCAATGAATAATGAACATCTTGTGAGCCATGATATGTTCAGTTTTGTCACTTTGACAACATATACCTTGACAGTTCAAGTTAGTATAGTTTAACATAATAATTCTTGGATCTTATG